TGGACAATCTTCTCACATGTAATACCTGCCTTTGGGTCAGCTCTGAGTTGGTTCGACCTCAATGGCACATAACATATATACCCATAGCTGACCCTCCAGATGGTTTTCAAAATTCTGTGACAAAGTAGGTGAGCATATATGGAAGAAATGTCTGTATAACTTAGTGAAATACATTCCACTTTATGTTACAAAGTCTTTCAAGGATAAAACATTCAAAATACAAGATAGACCAAGGAACATTTTGTCATTGTTATGTGCTGTAGAGTTGCTTACGACTCATAGCAACTGTGTGTACAACAGCTCTGAACCCTGCTTTATCTTGAGCCAACCTCATTATCTCTGACACACCCACCCCCATTACCCTAGTCACTGAATCAATCCATTTCAGCCAAGATCTTCCTCTCTTGTGCTGTCCCTCTCCAAGGACTGGTCCCTCCTTTCAACATGCCCAAAGTATGTCAGACAGAGCTTCAAAATCCTTGCCTCCAAGAAGCAGCCTGGGCAGCATCATGATAGATGGTGATGAGTTTGAGATTGTTGACAGCTTCAGTTTGCTTGGCTCCACAATCAACACTATTGGTATCAGTAGCCAGAAAATCAAAAATATGAATTGCATTGGGGAAAAAACCTGTTGTTAAGGACCTTTCCATGTTACTGAAGAGAACGTAGTCAGTCTAGAGACTAAGGTGCACCTGATATAGGCCATGGTATTCCCAATTACTTGCTATCCATCAGAGAGCTGGACAATTACTAAGGATTATAGAAGAATTGATGCCTTTGAGTTGTGATGCTGGAGAAGAGTATTAAATATACTATGTACTGGAGAGGGTGAAGAAATGTTAATGAAACAAAATGCATTCCCCCCCCCCTTACGGTTTCAAATCCCACAGACCAACTAACTTTTAAAGAAATAGCACATGCTGAGTTCCATTGTGGTGTTCAAGGAGAAAAGCCAGCTTTGCCTGAAAGAGCTGTGAAAAAACTCCTCCCTTTACCAGCTACTTATCTATGTGAGGCCAGATTTTTCCTCATATGCTTGAACTAAATAACAGTAGATTGAATGCAGATCCAGATAGGAGAATCCAGCTGACTTCTATTAAGCCAGTTATTAAAGATTTTTTAAAGAATATGAAACAATGTCACTTCACTCATTAGATTTCTTAGGTTTTAAAAGTATAGTTCTCTTCCAGAAACTACTATGTTAACATTGAATAAGTTTGTTATTGTTACATTTAAAGACATAAGAACATTTCCTGCTTGAATTCTTAATCTAGTAAATAGTAGTTGCTCTTACCCATATTGAAAAGAAGAAGCTCTCTGAGACCCTCAATGATATTTAGGTGTATAAAAGTTTTCTGAGGGGACAATGGTTTTAGCACTGGTGTCTTAAATAAATCTCCTCTTGAATGTCAGGAAATTATAGAGACAATGGCCCTCCAGGAGGAAATCTGCTCCCTCCTGTTGCTTATGAGGAAATGAGGCTAGGAGAGGGGAGGTAACTTATTTGTCCAAGGTCATACAGCAGCAACTTAGAGGCAGAGAGGGGCCTAGATCCACTATCTTTTGCTGTCGAGTTCTACAGGAGGCCAAGGGGGGTTTTATTTGTTGAATTTTGGGGGTTGTTGTTGTTTTGTTCCCATTGTTGGCTTTTCCCCTGCAGGATCTTCTTCAGAGTGACAGCATCAGCATTATGAGATCCTCTTAGACTCTCCTCGGGAGCCATGCGTCTGTTTAAACAGGCCCTAAATATCCATTACTTTTCAGGCATCTGTGTTTGTCACTGCTGAAGGCAAAAGCCAATAAAATCTGGTCCATCTTTTGAGGAGAGAGGAGTCAAACTGAACTATTGCATTAATGGGACTAAGTGGCTACAATCCATCTTTATCTCTAAGTGCATGGCAATGATCAGCACGGAATCCAGCGCCCATCTGTAAATGTGCCATCATCACTAGCCATTCCGGTGACAATTCCTCGTTCACCTTAATTGCTCAATGTCCCAGCTATCAGAAGCCAAGTCATCTGGTATCAGCCATCGACACAGAACTCAGAGTTTGTACAACTCCCAGTCTTCAGACTAGCAGCCTCTCTTTCTCTCTAGCCTTTTGCAGTTGAAGAAGAGAACACTATTCTTATCTTTACTGACAGCTTGTGTTCATCCTTACTCTGTGGCTCAGGCACCTACAGCTAAGACTTCACAATCCACTGCCTTGGCAGCATTTTTCCAAGTCAGCCAACTGCCTTGAGTTAAATCACAGTCCACTGCCCCTTGTGAGTGCCGTATGCATCTAAAATAGCTCACAAAATGCAGAGTCTTTTACCTATGTGAGGAGCACTGGGGCACAGTGGATTAGGTACAGGGCTGCTAACTCAAAGGTCAGTGGTTCAAAAACCACCAGCCTCCCCATGGGAGATCGGTGAGGCACTGTGCTCCTGTAAAGTTTTATAGCCTTGAAAACCCAATAGGTATTGTTCTTGTCTGTGATACTGGGTTTCTATGAGTCAGATTTGATTTGCTCTCCATAGATACGATTATCTGTCCTTGAACTCTGGTGACCCAGTATTTAAAGCATCAAGTACCAACTGAAAGATTCATGGTTTAACCCACCACCAGGTCAGCAGGGAGAGGGATGCGACAGTCTGGTGCTGTAAAGATTACATCTTTGGAAGCCTGTGGTCCTATAGGAACACTGTGAATCAGAATTGAACCAATGACAATGAACTCTTTACAGAAAGCCAGAGGAAAAGGTCCAAATGAGTATTTTACTTATACAACTCATACTCATTGCTCTTGAGTTGGAACTCACTTAGCTGACCTTCTAGTAGTTTTTTTTTGAGACTAGAAAGCATCCCATGAGAGGAGAATGCCCATCTTTCTCCCATGGTATTGCTAGTGGATTTGAACTGCCAAAGAGAGACATCACCTTTGGGTTAGGAGCACAGCTCTGTATGCTACCAGAGCTCTCCAAGTTCCAAAGCATCTTAAGGAAATTCTTAAAACATCTAAGGATGTTTGTTTACTTTATGAGTACAGTAACTGGAACATTAACATTTCTGTCCATTCTGTTTCCTGCTTCAGTCTACTAAACTCCTTTCCCCCCAAAACCAACAACTTCTTGCCATTGAGTTGGAACTGACTTAGAGATGATCCTCCAATGGTTTCTTGCCCATTCATTCTCTTATCTTCATTCCCCTCCACTATGTCCCTCCCTCCCAATATATAGTTCAAAATAGACATATGTAACATTTAGTTTTTCCTTTATATCCTTCCTTACATTGTAACTAACTAACTAACTAACTAACTAACTAACTAACTAACCCCTGGAAGAAAGATGACTTAAGGGACTAAGAACCAGGTGTCTGTCAAAATGTTTCTGGGGAACTGATACCAAAACCTCAAGTTAGCACCCAGCTGCTATTAAATTAATCGCTGTCTGTTCTGAGTGTAGCATGCAAGCTAAGGCTTTGTCAGTAACTTTAGCTTTGTGTGCAGGTGCAGCACCCACCGTGGTGCCCTTCCACCTTTCAGAATTCAGATAACAGAACCCATGCTGTCTCAACTACTCAGAGTGCGGCTATTTCTAGCATGGAGGAAAAGTGAGAACTAAATAGGGAGTGTGGCTCCTGAAGTAGCTAAGAGGAAGGCAAAGAACTGTAATTTTATAGTAATTACTTACAACCAGCACTGTAAAAAGCTCCATTCTAAATCTGAGCCTCTGCTGGGGATGATTTTAAGAAATAAGCCCACAGGTAGGCTTTAATGTGTGAAAGATCTGCCACTTCCTCCTATCTATATCCTTCTGAATATGTGCTAGTGTATGTCTTTCTTTCGTTCCTCTTCCTCTTATTCCTGCCTCCATGTAAATGACCATTCTGGGGTGGTAATTAGTTGGCTTGCTTTGAGTTTCAACCAATAAAGTTGGGAGTTTTGCAAGTACACCTGGAGAGGCTGCCCATGCCACACCCTCCCTGTGAGACAAGTCTCAGTTTTGTAGCCTCTGGATGGGGCCATCATTGTAAGTGGAGGCCAAATCAGACAGGAATGAGGAAGTTCTTTTTCACCTCATAATCATACTGGGAGCCAGTAAATAACTCAGTGGAAACAAATTATACAGAGGCTGGCTCATAATTTGTGTGTGTGTGTGTGTGTGTGTGTGTGTGTTTGATCAAAAATAGATTCTTTATGAAATTCTTGGTTCTGCATCCCACTCAAATACAGTAGAGAGACATGTAAAAACAATTAACACCAACAGAAACAAATCAAACTTCCAATTGAACAGTATTTAGAGGAAGGTTGGAGGAAAGAACAATTTAATGAGCAGAGTATGCAAATTATGTATATTTTGGTACTGCATGTTTCTATATCCTTCCATCTGCTCCTTCCACTGAAGTCCCAAGCTTCCTTAAGGAATTGCATGTTTTTAACCCTTCTTACAATTTTCTCCAATGCTTTGTTGTTTGCTAAAGAATGATTTTTAGTACAAAAGATCAAGTATTAGTCAGAAATACTAATTAGCATATTGATTAAACCTTGAGCTTGTTGATTAGTTTAAATATCCTGGGAGATGGTGATTTATCAGAAATTGATTTATTTGTATTCATAAAATCCTCCTAAATCACAGAACGGGATGTTAGAAGGTAAATTGCAGAGGAAATTACTATTAGTAGGCATGGCAGTTCTCCATACTACCACCTTAGGGAGCTCTGGTGGCCTAGTGGCAAGAAGCTGTACTGCAACCCTGAAGGCACATGGTTCAAATCCACCACTGCTTCCTGGGAGAAGTATGGGCAATCTCCTCCCATATGATTAACTGTTTCTGAAAACCTGCTGGAGGGTCAGCTAGGAGTCAGTTCCCACTGGACAGCACAGAACAACAGCTGCCCTTTGAGGTTTGACTTGGAAATGCATGAGGTTTGCATTTCTCAGTTGAGCTTTTGACTACAATTCTATATTCCTTCGTGAAAAGCTCTTCAACTCAGGGCTCTGATCTTCTTCCTTCCAGGCCGGCATTGACGGAGAAAGCATCGGGAACTGCCCTTTCTCTCAGCGCCTCTTTATGATCCTCTGGCTGAAAGGAGTTGTGTTCAATGTCACCACTGTGGACCTGAAAAGGTAAAGGGGAATGAATGGGGAATGCATTTATTTTTTTAAATTGAGGTTTTAATGAAAGTTTATAGAGACTTTGTATTTCCATTCATTCATTGTTGTACCTTTCCCTCCCTGCCCATCCCTCCCTCCAGTTCTCTTTTCTCTTTGAAAAGATAAAAAAAAAATTATTTCATTGTTATACAGTCCCCCTTGCCCAGTCCACTTTACTATGCAGCTCTTATTCTGGACTCTTGTCATGAAAATAATATCTAATCATATATTCTTTTTAAACAGTTCTCTCCCTCATCTGTTTCAGTGCAGTGTACATTATTTATCCCCTCTTTTCTCAGTTTTCCCCAAACCTCAATGTCAGTTCTGTTTTACAACAGTAGCATTTTTCAGTATTTGTCCTTTTGTGACTGAGATATTTCACTCAGCATAATGATTATAAACAAAATGGGTGATGGTGGGGAATGCATTCAGATGCAAGGAACAGAGAACCTTCCATGAGGGCAGCACCTTTCCCATGGTTCCCACCAAATGTCTGTTTCCACTTATGGAATAGAAATGAAACAGTAGCCACACATATTACAGAGAAGACTGCAAAAATGAGTACCACACTCCAGTGCTTTTGCTGCTCCATTAGCAAAGCGGAAGGAAGGAATGGATTTTGGCTATATAATTAGAGAGAGTTTATTTCATATAACAACAGAGGAGGAAGCCGTTTTGGCAGCACTATGTCCTTGTCCTGCAGGACACTATTGAGTCTACAGATGTGCAAGTTTGAGTCTCTAGGCATTTGAGACTCAGATCATGTCCTAGATTCCAAATAGGGTCATAGATTTAAAAGTACAAGGCTGAATTGCAGGTATAGTTAAGTCTTTAGCATAACTTTATTTGGGGCAACAATTCACTTTATACTATTGTTTTCTGGGTTGTGAAACTGTAGAGTTGATTCCAAGCTCATTCTTCCCACGTCCTTGTTGTCAGTTGGGTACCAAGTCCAAGCCAATCTCTCACTGTATTCTCTTACCTCCAAGCCCTCATATGCATTCTCATGCCCCGCCACTGCTAGCCAGACAGGTTTTCATTCCTTAATATGATCTTTTTCTTACTAGGTACTCTCATTCTCTTTAATCTATCCCTTAAAACATCATAACTTTGTTCTGTATCTCCATCTTCTTGTTGGGTTTTTAATATAGTTTTAAAATTATTATTATCATTAATTTTAATGAAAATTTGAGATGGATAGAATGTAGAACAGATTATCTGGGAGGCTGGGCTCTATGAGGAGAAATGTGGGGTCAAGATTGGTGGACAACTTATCAACAATCTGCGTTATGCAGATGACACAACCCTG